CAACCTCGTTATCATCAATCAGAAAGTAGAGAGAGAGCAGAGAGAGAAGAGGGTGGCTGAGTGGAAAAAAAAACACATGGCTCAACACAAATCTCTCCTGATGAATGGGGGAGCAGTGGCTTCTAAAATGCTGTAATGCAACTCCCTCATTAGCGCTGGTCTCAGAGCAGACAAAGGACTCATTTGGCGAAGGAGAAAATATGGAAATGCATAATGGAGACGGGGGAGAAATGTGCTCCCTCTCACTCCTGTCCTCTCCTCGACCGGCGACGAGATGAAATGTTTCTTTTAACTATCTTTTCAGAGGCACCCTGGACACATCAACGCAGTGTAAACGAAACGTTGCTAAAGTCGGGAAATGACAGATGTGTCGTTTCACCACAGTGGCTGGGCATCAGACGGCTAAAAGGTAGTTACCAAATCACATCGGACCCTGGGTGCGCCCGATGGCGGGGACACCGGTCTGATGTCAGCACGCCTCAGGCCAAATCGAGCAGTTTAAAGAGCTCTGTAGCACTCCCTGGAATTGAATTTCAGACTAATTAATGAAAAGAGAGAAAAAATAAAACACTGTTGGAGGAAGTGAGTAGCAACTGAACACAGGTAATCAAAGTTCTGAAACTTAAACTACTGCAAGCATTGTAATACATAGTACAAAATGAAATGAACTGTTGAGGAGGATGATGTCCAAACAGTGACGCAGATTTGATGGAAACAGACATGTTGTTATGACCCTACCTTACTATATACTACATTGCTCTTGGAGCACATGTACATGGGCATAAAATCTCACAAAATCTGGCTCTTACTATGCTGTCTCCACCTACACATTAAACCTACACGCTAACCTTTGAACACTACAGTTCAAGGCGGGTTTGGGGGGGGGGGGGGGGGGGGGTCGACGAAGCCACGCAAAAGAAGTGCATTACTTCAACATGAAATAACCACTGGAATGCACTCAACATCACTGGCTAATGTTATCTAACAGAGTACACTATGTATCCAAAAGGGAACTTGGCTGTTGGGCAAACAGCGGGCTTGACGGGCTGAAGGGCAGCATATCATTGATCTGACTGAGGAGCTAAATTTACTGTGACATGGCCAACCAGAACATGTAAAAATACTGAACATAAGATCCATGAAACCAACCTTTGACATCGAAGCTTAGAAAACGAACCCCAAGGTGGAGTTTTTGTATTTTTGCATACTTTTGCCCTTAAAGATTCTCCATTCAAAGACGGAGAATTTGACAGCTATGAAAACTAAAAGCCTTCCAATTCATTTCAATTTAATTTAATCTAAATCAAACTCAATGTAGGCTGCACCACATAACAAAATAAAATGAAAAAAAATAAATCTCTTGCTAATGTTAAAGCAATAGTTCAAGAATTTGGGAACATCTTCGCTTTCTTGTAGAGAGTTAAAAGAAAAGAGGTATACCACTATTAGCTCAGCATAAACTTGAGATTATTTCTGCATAAAGCCATGAAATTGTGTTTATGCTTCGTTACGGTTTAAACAAATGAGATATGAGATGTTAATGAGTGAGCTTAAGGCAGATTTTGTTACATCTGCGCAAAACCAGGCTATCTCATCTCATCAGACTCTCACCAATCTTATCAGCACGGGTTTGAGATGCAAAACAAAAGATGCAAAAGTATACGCTACTTGCCAGCTGACTGACAAAGTTATTGATTAGCTATCGTAAACATAAAGCA